TGCGTCAAAATCGATACGACTCCTCAGCGAATATTACAGACCGTGCCTCTGGAGAATGACTGGGATTTGCACTGAAACCTCGTTCGAATGATTCATTCAAATTGGTGTTACAAGTATATCATGCACCAAGTTGACATCGTCAGGAAACGCGTCCAAATATCAAATTGATATTCAATTTGGTTTGAAAATATATATGCATGGTGCTACACAAATGAACAGGAGAAACGTTTCCACAAAGTGCTTCTTTCCAAATTCCAGCAGTGACAGGTTTTCAAGGAAAGTTGCAGTTTTGTTTTGTTTTTTGAAAATATGCTGAACTCTTTATCTTAGAGACCAACGGGGTTTGGCATGTGCAAACGGTGCGGGCGCGTCTTAATTTTTAGGGCTTGTCCGAAAGTGACGGCCCTGGCTGGATTAACGCGAGCTAATGACGTCACTGGATACTGTGGCTGCATGCAGCCATTTTTCATAGGCTCTGTGTGTTACTCGGTAGTACGTATTGTGAGGCCAGCTGGTTAAGAGAGGAACATTTAAAAGAGATTTCCCGAATGCGTGTGCACAGAACACTTTATCGTGCTATAGTAAACACCATAAAAATACATTTTTACTATAAGGTATATTTTATACTTTAAATGTAACAATGATAATAAATTAGTCAATCAATCAATCAATCAATCAATCAAATTACAGCTTCCTTCAATAAAGGTATAATGCTTTGCATCTTAATTGTTGAGTGTGTTATGCATGGTGTTTACTATAGTACGAGAAAGTGTGCTGTCCAGCATGTCAAAAAACTCCTGAGGGCGCTATCGCAGTGGGTTGTCGTGGACTGAAACCTGCTGTAATCTTTGTCACGAATTCTGCCCGGCCTTTTCCGTAAACGGGCCGCTGCATTAATTAGGCACAGGGGCAATCGATACGATGTCCTGGTCACGTTTCATTATGTCCACTATGTGTCTTAACTTCCAACGCAGCCTCCGAAGACAAGCCTGTGTTGTATACGTCCCCTCCGCCTTGTTTTGACATGTTTCAATTTTCATCGGAGATCTCGAGAGGAGAGCAGATTGCTGTGCCGGGTTTTGGTTTCCAGCATTCGCTGTGTCGTGTTTCCCGGGGCCCAGATGTGTTGTCGACAATATTTATAACCAGATGCCTAGCAACTCGTCAGTTGCATTCACTTCTGCGTATCACATTGCTCCTTCCGGCCAAACATTCACTTCATGACATTCAAACGATACCCGTGTCTTGTCCGTCATTATTAGATCTGGCTTTTTAACCCACTTTGCTATAACATATGGACGGTTAAACCCAATACTTGGAAAGCGTGTTAATTCTTACCCCAGATTTCATAATTGGATCATTGTAGACTTCCTTTTGTTGATCACATTTAGAGGGCGCAATAATAAATGTGTTGATTGTTTTTCAGTTTGTTTACTTTGCTTTCACACAGAGAGTCGTTTTATTATGTATTTCTGACTTCTGTTTAGGCCTCTATCACTTTGGTCTTTGGACCGTGCCTAACACACAATGAAAGAGCTAAATAGCCTGGAACATGCAGTTTATCGAAGTTAATACATTGACAATTTTCACTCTAAATACTTTTATATTAAAAGCAATCTTGCTCTCAGTTTGTAAACATGTTTATAAATGCTATGGACAAGTGGTGTCCAATTTCAAAGCATCAACTCCCGATGCGTAAGCGCTGTCAAAACTCTAAACGCGATTAACGTTTGAAACATGTTTACCAACTGACAGCAAGAAAGTGTTCAGAAAAGTCCTCAATGGCACACAGTTTTTGCAGTGAAGCAAACGCCTATTAACAGACTAAATATGATAACAGGTAAATTCCGTACAAACTGGTACTTAGCTGGTGTGGTTCTCAGCTGAGGCAAATATCCTGCGCAGCGTTTCCCACCTCGTGGCTGCTTCTGTGTAGTTGACAATTAAGCCCTCGCCAAAAGCTCCCAATAACAGTTTCGGTACAGTAGTCGACCAGCACACTATTTGCGCATGCTTTTAAGTTAAATCTTTATGTCTTTCCTCAGGAAAAATTAATGGTTGATATTACATGAATGACATTCGAAAATCGCTTTATCATTTGGCATTTGTTTGTCATGGATCTCTTTTCAGTAAAACGTCGAACAAACACACGGGCGTTGAAATCTGCATATTTATTATGTGGCTCGACCTGACAGTCTAAGACGCACGTTCAGCTCGCTGGCTGTCGCCCTAAGCCCAGTTCAGATATTGTTTTCAAGGGTCTCTGCTTTACACCATCTCCACCTGCTGAAGATAATCAAGTAACTGAAGTTAGGTAGTAAACCAAGCTACCTGAGAGTCAGTCTTTGTTGGGTTTATTTCGTAGATTCAGTGCGTGACATCGTGTGGCTGCATTCGACTGAACGTGAGATCGTGTCCCAGACGCTGCTGTCAGGCGCAATTCAAAACATGATTCAGCAACTTTTGATCTGAAACCAAAATCCAAGACACTTTTACTGAGCTGCAAATTCATCCGGTTCGTTCTTTCACACCGTTCTTTAGATTTTGACACAAATACACAAGGACTACAGTCAGTGATTTTCAGGGATAATGCACAAGCGGGGAAAGGCCTCCATCAAGCTGTAGTTTGAGTTTTTTTTCACTATCTTACAGCGCTAGCATTTTGAATCTTTACACACAATGAGGTTTTTAGCAATAACTTTCATCAACTCATCCCAAATGTACATTTTCGACTAACGATATTCACAAATTTCTAAAGAAGGTCATAACAAAAGTTACGGAATTGTCTTAGACATTAGACATGCATTTATATATCGAGATCGTGTTACATCTGTGTCCCGTTAGTTTATCTTCATTGTTGTCCCAAAGGCCATCCAGTTTCCCCCTTCATTTTCCACGATCCAATTTTCCGGACTATTTTCATCACTCTTTCTAGGGTGAAAAATGTGCGAGCGAGCGGCTGAGTGAGCAATTATGTTTTCTTTTTTCGTCTTCATATTACTCCCCTGGCAAACGATGCAAAATGCATTATCTCTGGCTTCTCCAACGTAGCTGCTCGCGTGGTGCAGCCTGCCCAAGTTGAAGACAATTAAGGAAAGGGATATGAGGTCGTTTTACGTATCTTCACCGTCGGGTTATTTTCTTTCCACCCCGATAGCTGCCGAGCCTCTTGAAGAGTAATGGACTGCCCCGCTTTTCAAATGATTAACAAGGCAATAGCAAAAATGGATTTGCCTTCATATGCTTTCTGGATGAAACATGATTACATAATTATGCTGGCCAAAATTAAACGAAATCTGAATAGAAATGTCCGCCTGTACTCCAGAAGCTAATACTTCTCAGTAATATTGTTATGTTTTACGATTGAAGTCAAATAGTCTTCAAAATAGAAATTTGGAGGCACAAAGTAATAACTTTAAGAACCTTTTCTTCGCCGTCGTCATGCTTTCGTACTATTATATAATATAAATGTAATATATGAATGTAATACATTTGATTTTCGATAGGCAGTGTGCTTCGAATTATATTCTACAAAGAAATTGTTCTTATTTTTATTATGTGTGGTTTGATTCATTTTGGCATGTTAAAAAAAACATCAACATTCCAAAAGGACTCAATTATTTACCAGGGTAGGTCGGCAGAACTGCCGTTTTGTGCCGAACTTTATCAATTCCTTATGAACTTGTTCACACACTCACTTCCTCATTGCTCATTGGCATGCTCTGAATAAAAAACAACCCCATCCGTGCCGAAGTGATATTCCTACATTTTTTTCCGTCTACAAAAATATCTCTCGGTCGAACCCCGGGGCGTAAAGCACGAGGGGTGGGAAACCACGTGACGCCTGGTAACCAGACACGGCAACATGATCAAAGCATGTTGTAGGAATTCAATATCCTGCGTTCTACAGCGTGGCCGTGCGCGGGGCGTTTTGAAGACAGATTTCTCAGTTCTGCTTAATATCCTTTCTTAAACCCCTCTTGGACCAGGTTTCGAGTGATACAACTCCCATAAGCGTCCAACTAATCTACACATTTTACCAAACAAAAGGGCTGCATTTCTGCTACTGATGCTTCCTGTTTCTACAGTTCTCCAAAGAATAGTCCATTTCCTCTCTCAACCGACTCATCTATTCTTCAACTTTCCCTCTCCCGTAGCAGTTTCGTCTGTCAGAGGCGTCACTGCGACGACAAAAACATACCCAGTGACTTTTGGCTCTCGACCGGCTTTTACTGTCGAGGACATTCATGTCAGGCCGGGACTTTTTTACAGCCATTTTTGCGTAGGGCTGGTGAAAGCCCCTCAGTCAGCGTGTCGTTTCAGAGTCCTTCTCAATCGATGCTAATCTTCAGTTTCCAGAGAAGTCGTGGGGACTGTAATGTGCAGATAGACACTGAGGGACGGAAAGAGTAATGATGTGGCGCGTTTCACCTTGGATTTCACGAGAAAGGTCTCAACCCTGCTCTACTCCGCAGGGGGAGATTAAGTCTCATCCCCAAGAGATACTTAAACTTGTCCCAAATGTGATTTCCATGTGTCATCGGGATTCGAGATGCAGATTCCGCAGAATCGTTGCGCGAGGTTTACCTTGAGAGTACACACCGATGCCGATTTCAGTGAGCTGGAAAAAGGCCTTATGGAGTTTTGATGGAATTCTCATTTATAGTCGCTCGGAATGGCTTGAAGAAAGCATGCCTTTTCGCCCTTGATGGATAAATTAAGCAAACGCAGGAAGACGGACTCTTTGTACTTACATTGTTGCGCCCTCACACAAATTAATCCGTCTTATCTTTCTATCACATAGCCATTAAGGACACTGTTACTGCCCTTGAAATATCTGGCAATTTAAGTTGCCCAATAAGGTCTAATATAGCTTCCGCTTTAACCAAGTCAGTGCCAGCTGTTTCATTTACTGAAAATGGATTCTTGATTGACAAAAATAAGACGAGCTTTTTGGCCTCTTTTATTTCTCCTATCTACGTTGCTTACCGCACGATCAGTGCGTGTTCACACCTGACAAGGGTTTCCGGCGAGGATCGTACCGCTGCGTGTGCCGTAAAGGATTCTACTACCCGTCACCTACCGATCCCGAGGAGAACTACTACCAAGGCGTGGAGATTGAGGCTGAATATGACCACCTACTGGCAGACAAAACCAGCAGGTATCATTGTACAGTCAAATCCCCCAGATGGCGCTCTGTATAGACAAAATTGAGCGAGCATGTAATGTTCTGAAAAAAGGGTGAACCGGTTGGAGTATTTATAAGTTCTTTATAAAAAGTCGGTGCCACTAGAATCGTCTTTAGAAGGGTATGCAATTTGAGACTTGATTATTTCTGCTCATACAGGTTTACGTATGTGTATTCATGCATGTGACTTATCTTCATAGCTGGGTAAACACAGCTGTCCAATTTTGCTGCACTTAATTCACTTAAATAACAAAGGTGATCCTGTGCAAAAGTGCAACTCGCACCTTGGATTAAAGTCGGCAATAAAACACAGTAGTATACTGAAAGGAACACATCAGCTCATGTCACGCACCCTAGAGCGCCACCAAGAGTTATAATACCCACAGAAGCGTGATTGTAACTTTGACAAAAGACGCACAGGCCCAATTGCACCCCGGGGAAATTTTGTATAAGAGTCCCCCTGAAGAAAAATTTAAATCACTTTATCAAAGTGTAATGTGGCTGTTTTTGCTTGACATTGCAGATATTACGAGATGGTTTGTAAGCCGTGCGGACCCGGTTGTGACGAATGTGTGGACGGGCGATCCTGCCTGTACGCCCATAACTGGACAGTCCGGACTGTGTTGCTGATAATACAGTGCATTACTATAGCCGGCATGTTCCCGCTCTTCATATTCACCATATATCACCGAGAGGTCAAGGTAGTGTCCTCAGCTTCTCCTCCATGACCGAATACGGAAAACTAAATGATCATGACCGTGTTTTATACCCACCGAGTGCATGCTTGTCTTAGTCTCGATCTTGAGTTCTTCGCCAAAATATTGAAACACGTGGGAAATATTGAGGTGCTAAGTGTACAAACGTGGTGAACTGTGGGAAGATTTTTCTTATTGGACAACATGTGCTGGCTACTTCTGGCTAGAGGTGCTACATATTTTACTAGAAATATTTTCTGTTTAGCAGTTCATCCAGAATGGGCTAGAATCCTTGCATAATTTATGGGTTTTTTCAACTTCTGTCGGCGCTAGTGAACAATTCAGACGAGCAAAATGGTCACGTTTCTGCGAAGTGAATCCATTATTCTTTCAATATATCACAACAACAAACGTTATGGTCATGGGTTTGTGAAAAAACATGATATTTATTATTAATTATCGTTTTTATATCTATTCTCGTGGAATACTTTCTCGCTGAAAACAAAGAAAAAGACTTGAAAAGTGGAAGTTTTAGTTCAGGTTGAAAATTTCTGCTTGAGATAAGCATTTGGTAGCACGTCATGTTTCCCCCCCCCAAAAAAAAAAATCTCAACTACTGCGGGCATGGTAGTATTCATCAGATTTTATTTTACGCTGGACAGTTATTACCGGAAGGGGGATTTTAAATGTCACTGAATTCTGCTAAATTCTTACACAGTTGCTTTAAGATACTTATTATCAGTAAAACAAAATTTGAACCGGATCACTGGCTCATTGAAAGTAACTAACGGATAAGATATATGCCACCCAAGTGCCTTACGAAAATGAGTACATTCAATCTAGCGTGTAGCTTGGTCCCTAAAACCACCAGACCGGTTACTGATTATTCTTTGTGCAATCGGAACGCTCTGTCCAGAACTGATAACGATTTCAAAATATCAATGTGAGCTGAGTTCAATCAGAGGTTTGCATTCATTAAAGTTAACTTTATAAAGTACAGCAGCGTAGATCCTAATAGCACAATGAGTTGTAAGAGTGGAAAAGTTGCGAGACTTATATTCGAATGGACACGTTGACTAGGTTATGATTCCTTTTCTCTGCTTTTTATAGTTTATTAATTTAACAGTCAGGATTTGCTGGATTGGCTATCAACATCCCAAACATTAGGAATGGTTATGTTCCTGCGCTTTTGGTGGCTTATAAACTGCAAAATTGTCATGCACTAATAAGCACTTTTCATTACATAAAAAAATGTAACGCTGCTGTGCTTTATAAAGTTAACTTTAAATGTTTAACTGTTTAACTTCCTTAGCGAAATCTCTTTTCTGCCCTTTTTTAATTTCTAGTACCTTCCGGTTTATTTTCTCGCTGTTTCTATTGTTTGAAGGTGGTGAAGGCAGCCAGCCCCGTCCTACTGCGCATTATCTTGCTCGGTGCCCTCTTCCTTTACTGTCCGGTGAGTCTGATTGTGAATTTTCACCTTCCATCAATCGAGGATTTACATCGTTTGACACAAATAGAAAAAAAGGAAGGACATATTCTGTTTGATTATATACTAGGTTTGCTCTGCTCTGACCCGGGGGCTCTATCCCCTCCCCTCTCCTTCTGCCACTATTACATCCCTTGACATTTTGCTGGCCTGTCGAGGAAGAGTCGCCCTCCGAGCCAAGAATGACTGATACGGATCAGCGAGATCGACAGATTTCCGTTAATGTAATCTGAAGGCCGTGTCCGCGCTCCCAGTCTCAAAAACAGTCAGCTAGACTCGGGCATTTAAAGCGCGCACGAGGAGCAGATGAGTAGGGCGGCCTAGTCCCGTTTTGAGGACTGCAGTGGGCCACTTCGATCGCAATAAAACATCAGGCTCCCCATGGCATCAGTCCTAAGACCTTTCTTTCTTCTCGTCGCTTTATTCTGGTTTAGGTCTTTAAATTCTGTGGCGAGGGGCTGACCATTATCCTATTCGGAAAGGGTTAAAGAACGCGTATTTGGTATATTGGCAGCCGCCACAATAGGGTTTCATAAGGTGGGGGGGAATTGCTGGTATGTATAATGGCCCCACTAGACGTTATCTGATATGAAAGCGAAACGAATTTGACGTCATGAAAGATTTACAGTAAAATTTTGCACGAGGTGACTTGTCTTCAGCTTTTGCGAATTGACAGTGCGAATAATTGATCTGACCTAAAAAAAATTCGCGTTTGTGTTCGCTTTTGCGCCAAGCCTGAACTGGCCTTTACGCTGCAACAGCTTGCTCGAATCGTTCCATGTGCGCCATGTGCAAAAAAATCTACACTACTCTGTGCCTTTTTTTATTTAGCTAACATATTGTGCCGCATTTGTTTTTTAAATAGGAAGGTGTGGTGTTTGTTGTCAAAATAAACAATTCTTTAAGTTGCTGGGAGACTGCATTAATGAAGACAGCTGATCAGTTCTGAACTCATATCGGGTCAATTTGGGAAAGAGAGGGCAAAAAAGTGCACCGGGTAAGAGAGAAAACGATGTCAAACACAAACAATTGTCCTTCATTTTGAAGCCTTATCCTGCGGCCTTAATCCAACAATTTACCTCCAGTGCCAACAAGGGTTGATTATGGACACCCTTCATCTATGAGAATACATGCCGTTTGTTTGTGTCAGGACCAATTGGGGATCACGATTCACCCTTCCGTTCAGATCAATACAAATCCCCAGCAAAGATACTATTTCGTGACCTACTTTTTTTCGTCGGCTTGAAAAATAGATGGCCCTTTGCGCCGCAGGCTAGCGGAGAACTTTCTCGGCGGCCTGCAAATCTCTTTCGCGCGTTCCAATTTAGACTTCGGACAAGGACGTTGCTAAAAAACCACTCTCTTTTTCCTTTCGATGGTAATCGCGTATTAAAAGACAATTTCTTCTTCTCTTAAAGTCTTCTTTTACCATCCCGTCAGCGAAAACAGTTATTGGATAGATAGGACAGGTACACAGTGCTACTCCGCTCGGTGGTCGGGAATGTAAATGAAAATGGAACAGTCTTCAATCTCCCAAGAATGATCTTGGATCAAATTACGGACCGAGCATTTTGCGAAAATTGATGTTGAAAATTCTGCTGCCTCTCCGGTCGCGAACGAAAGAAGTTTACCCGCTGACCCCCTTTTCTCTACACTTCTCCTGTCAACGTAAGCAACGCCCGATGGATTTGTAATTTAATAATTGGCCTTTATTCGGTCAATCTTTACTAATAAAAGGCAGCTGCGACCACTCAAAGCAATTGCTAAGTGTTAAACTAGGGTAGCTTACTCTACACAGGACACTTGACAATGTCACCCAATACAACAGGTCCAGATTTTCAACAATAGTTTCCGGTCATATGTGTTCATGTGTTTTTGTTTTTCTTTCTGTACCTCGGTGCTTGTTTTGTCCTCGTTTTATACAGCATATTATGTCTTTATCAGAAGAAAAATGACGGCACCTAACAAAAAGGCATCTGATGAAATATGGCACAAGTATAATCGAATTTGAAGTTACTGAGACTGTACAAAATCGTATGCCCAGTCTGTTTTAGTCCACTTTCAAGAAGGCGCACGTACCAAGCTGTCAATATCTGCATTGTTTGTCTTTTGAAAAAATAACAAAAAAAAAAAACCGAACCTGAAGCGCTAGTTCGGAGTTTTTGATCTGTTTTGCGTTTGATACAAGTCCCAGAATGTGTTGCCATCGGTTGCGAACAAGAATTTAAGATGATGTTCATAATGTATTTAATAATGCAATGCCACTCCAAACGTTTTATCTGCTTTGCGCAGTAATGTGAGTTGGCCTACTCCGTTATTTTTGATAAGTGTTAATAGTTGATGGAAACCTTCACTTCATGTCCTGATTTCTTGATGTCGGGGTTTCTTCGTGTCTTGATTTTAGTGGAAGTGGGCTACAGCATTTCAAATCTTACATTCCAGCAGATACCATCTGCGGGAATTAGTTCGAGGCATGGCACAGTTAGCGTTATTCCCGAATCTTTGCTTTTCCCTTTGATTCTGTGACCTTTGCATGGATGCTACTGATCCGACGATACATGGCTTTTAGTCGAGTCGATGACCGTAAAAAATGAACATTAAGTAAATGTATAAGAAGATATGTCAACGCGGGGACTTGTGCGACTATTGAGGCAAGAATTTTACAAAGGCCGTGCTGAGGCAATGGCTATCACTGCTCAGTAGAATTGCTTCTAAATGAATTATTAACATCATTGTAGCCACCGGCTGAAAACGGAATGCGAGATTAAAACTCGGTGTCGATTTTCACTTGTAATATTTCAAAGCACTTTTCAGTATTTTGATAGTTTTATACATGTCATTTATCATGGGTGACAACTTTCCATTTTATGGAATGCCCATGCCTGTACTAGTCTTTGTGAGACTTTCAAGGGAAGGCTCCAACTCTCCAGACGCTGTCCAGCTAGCGCTGCCTCCGACTCCTACACTTCAAAACTCTCCAAAGCCACTACTCATAGCGTTAAACACTTATCACGATGCTCGTAGACATGGTTCAACCAACAATTGCCCAACTGTTCTACGTACCACTGGATCAATTTTTGATGCAATTCAAAAAAGAGTGTAATGATCGTACTGGTTTTTCTCGGTGGTGTTGAAATTGCAGGTACTTGTCAGTTATAACGAGCCGACTGTAGCGACGTGTATGCTTCTCCAGTGGTTCAAGGAGGTGGGATTTTCAATATTGTTCGGGGCACTCCTTTTGAAGACTTGGAGGTGGGTTCACTCTACTTTGTTGTTTATTAAAACAAATTGTTCCTACATATTTTGTTATTGTATGGGCGTACTATATTGAGTAGAATTATTTTTCAATTCACCGAGACCTGATAGAATTACCATGTATTGTCAGGTGCAAGTGGTTTTGAGCAGCACTATCAGACATGACTTTTAAATAGGTAATTACAAGTTTTACTTAGATTGATTCACCGAATATTTCACTTAATATTTAGAACAGGCCAAATTTGGCATGTAATCGTTTAGCTGAAAATAAAAAATACCAGTGAATTTTACCTTTTCAAATGATGCATGTTGTTGGTGTAGATTCATCAAGAAATGAATTTGTCCTAACACAACAATTTTAAAAGTCCATTCAGAACAGAATTTTCTGTTAGATTGCAGATAAATCGTCACGGTCACCATGAAGTGTCGCTAATGTGGCTTTTGAGAAAAACTAGGTTTTCGAGATAATCGCCAGAGAAGTTCTTCCTTTATGAAAACTACCAAAATTAGTACTTTGTGACAACTTCGTGTAACAAAAACCAACCAGATGATTCTCTGATGTCTAATCATTCCTTCAACCCGAGTAATTAGTATAAAGCAGCGGTTGGTTAGCCAAAATTAATTAGCAAAGGTTAATTTCACTTCGTGAAAACGAAAACTACGTTTTTGTACATGAACGTCCTTCTATTTAATGGATAATAATCACAGGGAAGGGGATCGTGTCTTTACGCGCGCAAAACTGTGAATGTAACAAAGCTAACGTCTCTTTGTGAAAACGCAAAATGCTGTTTTCAAGATGCTTGACCTTGACAACATTAATGCAACTATGACATTGATGATGTTTTGTATGTGGGAGCAGGTCAAAATGGTCAAGAACGATGTTCTAAAAGAGAATATTGAAAAAAAATGGACAAAAATTTATTTTTGGACATTAGCGTCACTTCGTGAGAACGGTGACAAAATGTGTAATCTGTTAATAAAAAAATTCGAAAACGTTCTTGAATCAGTTGAACTAATATCAGAATATTCTGACTGTCAGTAACACAAAAATCTAATTTTGGAGTGACTAGTGTAAACCGGCGATCAATTTGTTTCATGGAACTAATTTTCATGGAGTTACTGGTAACAAGAGCTGTTTATTTTGGTACATCTAGGTTAAGGCTAGTTATTCTTCCAATTTACCTAGGTACAAACACAGTGAATATGCGGAGACTTACTGGAGGCTTTGCGGGCCATTATGTGCGGTTGGAAATTCCAAAGATAATTCCGTGTTTTCCTTTGCGTTCTTCCAGGATATCGGTTGTCTTCAGGGTCCGGTCTGCGGCGAGAGTTCGCATAACAGACGTAGACCTCATCAAACGACTCGGCCTTATAGTCATCATCTCGATATTCTACCTGATTGTCCGGTCTGTCATAGCCCTCCCTAAGGTTGAGACGGGCATCTCTTTGTCCAACCTGAAGGCGGAGCAGTGCTCGTATGACTGGTGGGACTATGCAGCGAATATCGGTAAGCCTACCTGATTCTCGAAGGTTGGAGAAAGTACCTCTTTGGAACTTTCCCAGTCTTAGAAGTGGACCAGAAATAGCACATTTACCAACCCTGCCAGACAAAAACTGTTCTCGTGGTTGCACAAACTGAAAGGCATATGTTGTGAGTACCCTTTTATCCATCCCCGTACCTACGCTTACATAGTACAAAGACCCGAACAGTCGTCACATACATCACCCAACTGTTTTGTCGATTGTTTTAAAATGAACATATTTTGGCCATCCGTTTATGTTTTTTAGACTCTGACAGCAACTATTCACTAAAAACGTTGTATAACGCACACAGTTTGGAATTGCATGTGCTGCTGTTGACGACGTTTTGATCAGTTACTGCAGCTGCCGTCTGATTTCCAAGACTTCGGTGTGGAAAGATGTTTTCCGCATGTGCGTTGCTGCATCATACAATGATCGTTGGTGCTCCCTTGAGAAACACAATTTGAGTAGAAAGGGGGGTTTAACTTATCAGATTTGAGGTGGGCATAGTGGGGAAATTTGTCATTTTTTTTAACTGCAGGATATTTTAACTCGTTAAAGAGTTATCTACTTTGTGTGTTTGCATTGACGCAAGGCGTCTTCAACCTCACGGCATATTGTGCACTTTGTGCTCCGAAGATCATGCAAAGGTCCCGCTTGTCATCAGTGCTTGCCCCATGCGAAATCGTTGACAATCCAATAACAGCGGCGTCGGACAGACGATTGGACGGACCTCCCCGCTCCCAATTATGAGAAATTTGTCACGAACCAAAACATGCATTGATCTTACAGTTTCCTCATGTCTGCTTTAATCCTTACTTTTTCTCACCTCCAATTTGTGTCATGGATTCCCTCATTGACTGTATTGAACTTCAATACACGTATGGTTGTGCATGCATGCGCATGCTCACTGGGGATAATGTGAGGTAAACCGCGTATTTCAAGGTTCCCGAGGGCAGACGGCAGTTTTGAGTAATCACAAACTCAGAGAGTCGTCAGCTACATTTTGATATATTTACCGCTTTTCAATTGGATGCTAAACTTTATTTCTTTACCCAAACGTCTTTGTCAAGAATTTTCATATCTGCAAAAAATAAAAATAAGCTTAACAGTGTTGGGTGTCGGTGCCCTTTTTAAATGTTAAAAGAAATTTCCCCAGTGTTTGTGTTACTCCGGGTAATATTTGTCAAAGTTTTGTGGAAATATATACCAAAGGATGACGGATGATAATTTTAATCAACATCAGTCACCCATCTGTCAGTCGGGCAACAGCCACACATTGCCCAACTGACAGATGGGTGACTGATTTTATAAATTTTATACTTTGAAGTGTACACGTTATAACGAATTACATGCTTATTTTTATATTTCATACAATTTTATGAAATTTTATTTTTCATTTATATGTATATACTTTTGTATTAGATTTTATATGTCTGCTGGCTTTTATTGATTCACAACATGAAGCTCGCTTTATATTTTTCATTCGTGGGGTTTTTTGTAAGCATATAATTATCTTTCTTGTTGCTGCGTGTGAGATGGGTAATTGGAATGAGGTACTGGGATGTTTCTTACCTTACATCTGCGGTGGCCTTCGTTTAAATTCCACGCCACTCGCATCTCTTTCTTGAATGTTCTCTCGAGGCTCTCCTCGAAAGGAATACTTTTTCTGATTCTTAATTCGCGCTACTGAAAAATTGTTCTTTTCCGTTAGTGTCCAATACTGATTTCTGACTATAATGTATCACTTCGGCTACCCTTAAAGTCAGGTTCATATTAAGAAAATAGCAGAAATAAAGGCCTGTTTACATCGTGGACAACATTTTGTACTTAGGACCATGACCTGTATGTGAGGGATCTGAGTATATTGACAAAAGGCTATGCTGAAGATGTCTCGAGGCGTCTGCAAAATTACATCAAATTGTTCTTATCTGTTGAGAAATGTTTTTATATCTAACTCATATTTGTCTCATCTGGATTCCTGCTCGTGCGTGATCCTCCAAACCACCCAAGCCAACATATCTTTAATTCGGTAGTTAACCTGCATTTCTTTTTTCCATTTTTTTTATATTTTACTTGTTAACATGAGGGAAAACATGCATATCACTGCATTGTGCCACTGTTTTCACACTGCCCCATGGGCAAAAATTCCTCTCTGCGCTTCTTCCTCTCTGTGTGGGCCCCCAATGAAAATTATGTTCTGTTTGCGCCGACAGTAAGCCCCCAGATCTCGAACATGAACTGCACACCCCGTCTGTGTGCATTTCGCTTGATTGACAGTGCCGATGATGTAAATTAAGTTTCCATGGCAGAATCTACGCACGTGCGGAGCTTGGGGGTCCATTCCGCAGGCGGATCAACGCACCCATTTATCACGTTATCTGTAACACCATCATTTCTGAGTTAATTCAACATCATCACGAAGGGCAATATGAAGCCGTGTCGCCATCAATCGTGTGGTGGCCTTTCGATTTTGCTTATCTGATAGAAAGATGCCGTATAAATCTTAGCATTAAACATATATATACAGAGAATGCAGGACATTTGTCAAGCATGTGTTACCGTGTTTTCTTCCACAGCTATTTCTTCCACAGCTTAAGGTTACACTGGGAAGAATTGCGCACTCTATTTACACACAGCAGTTCTTGGGGTTTGATATTAACTAATTGTGATGTCTTACAACGGTGGGGTTGAGAACAGTCGGCTGGCCCTCCAGATAAAGGCCAGAGCACATTTCTCATGGTTGATAAAAAATTGGGGGGCTTTGGACAAGTTTGACCGGAGAAAATTATTTGAAACTCGAGCAAGCAGCAAAGGAGTTGAGAAGGAGATAAGACATATAACCATAATCTATCTGTAATGCATTCATTCCATGGACTGTCACCCTGCTGCTGGTTACATTGCTCAGTTTTAAACGTCAACGTGAAATGCGTTGGCTTTGCTTTAATAGAAGTAGCTATTTGATATCATCATTGATTAAAGAACAGGCAATTAAGCTTCTGTCTAGCATGAAGCATGTATTGTCAGCCGCTGAGCATGTTATTAGCCACAGATCGGGAGAGAAAGCAGTATGTTATAGTTGAGATGGCCTCCTACTGATAGGAAAGTGCTTGGAACCTTCGATGTGTTCAACCATTTTTAATATTGGTCTATTGTGAGGAAACGTTTGTCATTTAGTGTAGTGCTTTACACTACATCATAACCTGATCCGATCATCTACAACTGTCGTTTATTAACGAGGCTGTTTTACGGCCAGACACTCCTGTACGAAGCGTCTTGGTAATACATTATAATAGACACCTGAATTACAATAATGAGCTTTAGCGGTGTTATGTGGGGTTATGTAGGTTCAGGTCGTGCGCAGAGGAGAGAAAAGGGGCGTGGTCGAGCCGTTCTGCGTAAAGAGAAGGTATGGGAAACAAATAGCATGAAGTATGTCCCTAGTTCCAACCCTGGATGGTACTTTTTTTTTTCTCTCTTTTTATTTTTCTTTCTCCGTTTGTTTTGTATATTGGGAAACATCATTTCAACTTCCTGCCGAAATGATTAGCCTTTGAAATGTTTTAATCAACTTAAAAACATTCATTTCAACCTGTAATTAACGTTGAGCGTCACGTTTATTATCGTGGCACATTATATTATCTCCGATAATGTCTTTAAAATCTGCGTTTCGAATGTTGGATTTTTGCTGCAAAAGATTCCTTTGTGAACAGCGGAGGTTGCGGGATCGGGGTTGATTAATGGATTGTCGGTAAAGGGACAGTCTTTTGCTTCCTTTTCAAAAGAAATGTTCTTGGGGCTCTGTGATCCTATTCGGTTTTAAAACTTCAGTTCTGACAACTTCGGAAGCGTTTGACGTCTTAACATTTTTCCCATAACACAAATATACAGCATGTAACTTGACAAGCACAAATGCAAAACACGGATTCGTTTATGATGCACGTATCGCATAGTAGCCTTATTTAACCGTTACAAATATAGCTCACCATCTCATCAAACGGCTTCCTTTTATGAGTCCCGTACAACAAACAGATACCGGCCAAATTGCCTCTTTACTAGGCGCACCTGGTGAGTGATCTGTCGATAGGCAATCGCGTCGAGACGTGATTTGCAATTCACATCACAGGTCTCGCGGGCACTAGCGGCTGCCAGCGGACGTACCTGGCGGCGCGGCGGGGTGTCAGTCCGGTTCGTCATATCAGCCCTGACACGCTCAAGCCGGCGCAGGATCCCGGTATGCATTCGTTAGTGAATATTGATGGGGGTTCTCCGAGGGTGACGGGCGAGCGCATAGACAGATCACGGGGGGGGTCGGTTTCTGGCCCCGGAGTATCGGTTCACTGGGGGTGTTGACGGGACGGACCGAGGGTTGTGATGGAGGTTGGCGATGTACCGTTCTGAATTGTAAAGAAGTATTTCCCCGAAGTGATTAATCTGGCGAGGCGAAAAGTGCGCACAATGTAGCACATCTATCACTGCAGCCACTCATTCAGATAAAGCACAAGGCTCCATCTGCATTATAACTTGACACCTGGAACTATGTTGTTCGGCTTGGTGTATTTTAAATTTATGAATGTACTGGAGCTTTAATATTATTCCTGTGTTTGAGAGCAACATTCTCTCTCAAGAAAACGAGACACCAAACAACCTCACTGGCCTCATTCTCGAGTCGGCCATTTTATTTCAAAAGCGAGGCGATACCCCGTAAAAACTTAATGCTTGTGTGAGCGAAGAAGAAATGGCGGGAAATTATTGAGCAACATCCCAATGCTCCAATGTTAGTTCATAAAATGAATAAAGTCGGGCCGTGTTTATTGTTCCAGTAAGAAACAACAGGCCACACTTCATTTAAAACGAAGATTAAAGTAAACACGATCCGAAACGGCCATCCTATGATCAAAGGCTTGAATCATAAGATTGCCAAAGCCGTTACTAATTAACTGGTACTCTTGATACGCAGCTCTTTGTTTTGCGTACAGTTGAGGATTATCAGGCTATTGGTCATTTGTATTACTCGTGCATTCCACGCTGTCCACAAAACACGTCAGATCCAATATATGGTTTGTCTTTAGAAGCAATAAACTGCAGTTTGCGAACAGCAAAGCTTTGTGTTAGATCTTTTTTTGGGGGGGGACAAACATTGACCTAACTTTAATTACTACAGTGTTGTTATTTGTTGTGATTTTCCAACACAAACTTTATTCAGTTGAATCAAATATTTCTCTACAAATTCTTTTTATCGCAGATTAAAGAAAGGTATAAGCATACCCAGCGTGTCTAAAGTCATTTGTGTAAATGCACTAGGCCATATAATATATAATGTGGCAATAAAGGGCGACATATGTCGCCTCTCATTTTTTTCTTCACCTTTATGAAACTATGTTTCTAATAGTTCCCTATGTTCCCTGTGCGTGTTTGAATGTTTTATTTAGCTGAACTGGTGCTCTTGCTGTGGGGAGTGAGGCTATGCTATGTCGTTCGGAAGGCGCCCTCTGAGTTCAACGAGAGCAGATTTATCAGCTGGGCTATCTACAACGAGACGATGCTGTCATTGTTCTTGTGTGTGGCCACGTAAGTAAATCGCTTCATTTTTCATCATTTCTCCCTCTTGTCTAGCCTTCCATTGGGGTGTATTGACATTATCAATGGCCCATTGAATATTACAACTGCTTTTTACAAACTTATCCGTTTGGACACCACAACTGCGATGGCACCGCACTCATAGGCACATTCTTCAGCTTGACGTGCATTTGGCAAATCACAACATCCTATTGGTCAAAGATGCATGTAACGCGCGCGTACCACCTGTCCACGAGCGTTCTGTCACCACAGTAATGGCTTGTATAATTCTGGTTGTCGAATTACATTATAGATCTTGTATTTCATCTTTTATGCATTGAATGCATATTCATTCACTGGTTGTCATCACCATATTCTCAGATTAATTATTAGGCACCTGCTGCAATTTCTTCTCAGAAGACCAAAACTTTATCAAAATGAATTCTTATATCATCCGTGTGAGCAAATTCGGTATTTTTGTGACCCAACCTGGTGATATGAGTTACGAGTCGCTAGACCTATCTTCTAGGGTGTGCTATAGCCTGTTGCCCTATACATACGGCCATGTACATATATACAGTATAAGGATGAATCCTTTGTTACCACATTCTGCATGGGCTAATAACAATTACCCTGGTAGCAATTCAGCACGGATTGGAGAACTCCATGCATCAAGGAAATCGAAACTGAAAACAAAAATGTAGCGAACTGCCCTTTTATGAAAGTGACAAAGAGGTCGGAATATTCCATGAAGTACTCATGCTTAAACTGTACCAAGTACTCGGCTTCAGAAAGAAATATTATTCACAGTATTTATTCATCGACGTATAATATATATCACTAGACGACAAATATCTCTTGATGCTGCGATTATCTCTGGTTCAAGGCTTCTAGCCCCCTCAAGCGTTAAGACGGGCACAGCGTTTGTTGGTTCAGGATACAGCCGGAGGGAGGACACCCTCCTCCAAAAATATTACAGACTCGTACAAATTGATTCGATCAGGCACAATGCACTGGAAGCCATACGCCAGAAGGGACGACTGCCGACTCGACTCGTCCGCAGGTGTTTGCCGAAGGTCCTGGGCGATCGATGCACATTTTATCTCGCAAACAAAAAAGATGGCTTGTAAAACGAGTGCTATGCGTGACCCTTCCAAAATGTCAATGATCATAGTATTGGCCAGGCAGTTTGCTTGCTATACGAAAATCTGAAAGTCGGTTTTACTGCAAGCGTCTGCTTATGCCACTATCTTGGGTACATTTTTCCTTTTTCTGTCTCTTCTTTCCCGCATTGGAAAGGAGAAGTTACGGTTGCATTGTTTTTGCATTGTCATAGAGGCTTTGTTATGTACTTGAACAACTAAAGCTTCTTTCAGCTGAAAACGATGACTTTGTGACCAAGTTTTGAGATTTTGGTGATTTCTCAATCAAAAACATGGCCAATAGAATTACCAACCGTTTGATTGGATAGTTTCAATCATAGACTACGAATACACTAGATCGACACATTGTGCACAATTCCACCGTCCTGTAATTTTCTGTAATTTGATCTCTATGACTGGAAATACAGTGTGTAACAGTATCCATTGTTGGTACAACACAGAATCACTATTAAATTTGAAAATTGAACTAATCGTGCGTTTGCGCACATTTGGTCAGTTGTTCGATAGAAGACGTGGACAATCGTGTATCCTCAACTCGCTCGGACCTGCACTTCCAAGGCCACCTTTAATTTGCCGTTTGCATATTCTCTTTCCCTTTTTGCCTTACCGGAGGTAGACTAAGTAACCTCGATTCTGTTAATGGACAGGAAGGGAGAAAATAGCATTGGAATAGTTTCGGCCTTGCTGGAAAGAGATCTAATGCGGGCACAGATCCTGTCTGCTTCTTTTTTGCCCGGCCCTACTGTCTTGCGGAACTTATATACATGCATGTTTTGTTTTGTTTTTGTTTTTGTTTTTTGTTTTGTCTTTTTTTTCGAGGGAGAGAGATATTAAGTCCAAGTCTTGCAATTTTTGAAATGTACTGGTAGCGTTCAGAATCATTTAGATCGTTGTTAATGGATAAGCGAGATGTAAGAATCAAATCAGAAACGTAGCCAGGAATTTGTTGGCTCCTTTTTTTCAATATAGGCTAAACATACACGATCCACACATTCATCGTCTGTAGTTACATCTGCCTGCATGCTAATGCATTAGGTAAAGTTGCTGAGGCAGATTGAGTAACCTTGGTCTGCTTAATGGGCAGGAAGAAAATAGCTTAAAAATAATGTCGGCCTCACCGTAAACTGATCCAATGTGAACGCAGATCACGTCTGCCCTTTTCCCCCGACGCAACAGCTCTGCTGACTGTATATTCATGTTTTATTTCATAGAGGGTGAGAGATCATAAAAACCAAGTCTCGCAATCTGTAAAATGGGACTAATTGATTAACATGTTGATTATCTGGTCTGAGCAAATTTCATTCACGTCAAACCAAGCTTATACTGACACTCGAAGCGGTAAATCTCATTAAGCCTTCGACCTAAATCTATCCGACAGTCGCACACAGAAAACGTTTAACTGCTGTACTAAGATTTTTTGCGGTACGAGGAAAACATCTGAACCTGATAGGGAACCTCTGAATAGCTCATATTTGGAAAAGAGGGTGCCATAAGGATGTTAGGAGAGTCGAGAATTCCCTAAATACGCCGTAATAACTGTGACAAAATAGCTACATTCTTGCATGACAAAAATTATTCATTAATCAATTGCAAACATTTCTGATTTCTTCCTTTTTTCTTTCTCCCTTTGGCTCTGCATAGTTTCTTCCTCCAAGATCTAGCCAATCCGGATCTTCTATATATTATTTGGTTTTTGTACGGGCAACTCACAACCACGGTAGTTTTAGCACTTCTATTTGGTAGCAAGGTGAGTTTTTTAATTCCATTTAATTTTGTTTTTATTCAAAATGATTGAGGCCTAGACGTTATTCTCTTGTCCCTGTGCATGTGCATGTAACCTCTTAAAAACGCAATAACAGAATATCCGCTTTGTGATACAAGACAGCCTCTGTACCATGGTAAAAAGTAGTCGATTTGCCTCGAAAAAAAATTAAAGCCAAAAATGAAGTGAAACATCTCTCTGAAAGTCGCACTGCAATTGTGCGGAAATAAATTGCGAAAAATTGTAAGGCGCACTAATGGGTCACATCACTGTTGTAATGTCAGTAGGCCTATATAATTGCTTGTGCCGCACTTTGTCCTGGACAACTTAAATAAATTAACCACTTGCAGTTTTCAGTTAATGGGAAAAATTGAGGCTGGGGGAGAACCCTTTTAATGATCGATCAATAGTACACTGCAGCATGTTAACCCCGTCCAGACAGCACTGTGATTTCACCGCTATCAATGAGATATGGATAACGGCGATGAAGAACAATGGCCAAGTACGATTCCTAACGCGTGTAGTTTTAGCGGGATCGAAGCAACAAAACCCGTTTTGTTCCCATTGTTGGCATGGGTTGCATTTCTGTTCAAAAGAAAAATCATTGAATTACACAGATGAATTGTAAATTTCCTTTTTTTTTGAAAGATGTAGCTTTGGCAAACTAACGAAAATGCTCAGTCGAATAGCACTTTCATATTGGCATTAATATTTCAGAACACTGAAGCTCGACGAAAAAAAATTACAGACAAAAATTATATTTGCGTGGTTGTTTTATCTCAGGCAACTCCATTTAGGTAAAATAAAACAAAAAATGAACGAAAATTGAACATATTAAATTTTCATAACATTGAAACTGGTGCAAGTTAGATCATGTTTCACCAATCATTTTTATAAATACAAATTTGGCATAAACCACCATACGTTGTTTGACGTCATCGGTGCTAATGATTTCAACCCGACATAATAAAATGCTAATCCTACAGAGGGCCAACAGCTACTCTCTGACCGACAACTACTCTTTGACCCCCAATTACTCTTTCACAAACAGCTGTTGTTTGACCAACAGCTACTCGTTGACCAACACTTGCTCTTTGACCGACAGCTACTCGCTGACCAACATGTACTGTCTGACCAACAGCTACTCTGCAACCAATACTCTTCAACCACCAACTTCTTTTACAGGTGGTGCCAGACTATTTTAGGTTCCATGATGCTTCACTTTCAGCTTTTTCAAATATTGTTTCAAACATTTATATGTATCACAAAATTTTAACTAGTCATCATCGTATATAAATTTAATTTGTAATGACTTTTCATTTCCTTACTTTTATTTTGTTCTTAGATTCCGAAAATAAAAACGTTAACCTCGCTTTCAATTCTGTATGACAGACTTATGTATAAGGTAAATTCCATGTTTGCCTTTTGATGCATTGTGGATCGTCATTTCGATTTTTCGTGTCAGATTTATCTGGTGATCCAGGGTAAAGGGGACAAAACAGAGAGCCGCATAAAGACGGCCACTACGGCCTTCAGACAGCGCACCTGGGATAACTCGCTGTCCTCCCAGGGGCTGATGGCCAAAACGTCGTCATCGGAGATGGAGAGGCCACTCAACCAAAGAGACATAGAGGTAAAACAAATAGAAAAGGCCCGGCGTCAACTCCAAAAGAAAGCAATAATTCGTTTGTCGACAAAAATGGAAATGTCCCATGTGGATTTTGTCTTTACTTGTGTTGTCATTGCGTTAAGTTTATCGACCGTAAATAGTTTTATAAGGAAAGCCTTGTGAAAAAAAATTGAAGTCTGGTCTGCCTACAAGAGGTACAGTGCACAGTTCAGAAATGCACAGTGCTGGACCACGCATGAGGTTTGTAGTTTACACCACCAATGTATATGAGTCAGGAGCATCCCCTTTGTCATCATCGGGAAGGGGGTACATAAAGTCAGGAGATCGTCAAACGCCTTGGGTCAAGTTGGTCATAATGTTGCAGTGTATCTGTATGGCAATTTACGTTCAACTGGGTGTCGCTGAAATTATTTTGTTTTAGTTAAGCAAAGACAATGATAACAAAGATGTGAACCATTTTGGATATTACTACTATTTTGAAATAGTATCAAGAGCCTTTGAGCAGAAAACCAGGCGCAGTTATAACATGAAACGTTATGAAGCTTAGCGAAGTAACCTCAGCAGGAAGGGTTCGTTTTCATAAAGGTAATCTTGGGATAAAGACCAGTTTTTTATTTACTTATTTTCTGAAGGATGAATTGAAGAGGCTGTACACACAACTGGAACAGCTAAAGACCAGGAACATGGTAGTGGGCAACCCGCACCTTACCCGTAAACTGACCGAAATGGCCGAAGTTGCCAGGGAAACAGAACAGATGTTGATGGACTCGGATGTTCCTAACGTTAACGGCGTGCACGAGATTTCCTACTCTTGCAACAATAACGGAAGGACAAGCAAATCAGAGGCCGATTGGATTTAAATAGTGTAGTTGGAGTGAACTTTGAGAGGTGGTGCTCTTTTACTGTCGCAGATTTGACTATGGAGTGCTCCCGATCCATTTAACTACACAATGGATAACATTAGACGTTTGTCAAATGCCAGTCGCCACGGCTGATTTTTTTTTTTTACTAAATTGAAGACTGACAAAACTGGCAGTTAATCTACACCAGTGACTCCTAAAAGTTGCCAGATCATCAATTTCTTTTGCCTTGAATCAATAAAGTGTCCAATTCCTCTTCTCAACTTTTGAAGGCATCGGCATGTTGCTTCGAATGATCCAGTCCAGTAAGCTACCTGTGTTTAGAGTTTCAGAATTTCGAGTGCCAATTCAGATAAATGCGAATATCATCTGTGCCGGTTGATCGAACCTGCAAAGGCGGTGAATTAGACGCCACTTGTATGCATTGTATTTATACAATTCACAATAGGGTGCAAGAGTTTGCAACGCGTTGACCAATCTCAATGCGCGAAATCTGTCGACCTAATGCGCGTTTGGAAAAGGTCGACGGATTTGGCTCATTGTGATAGGTCAACGCGTGGCACACTCTTGGAGGCGCACTATTGTGAAACGCCTGTGTTAGTCCACTTTTTTATTTTAAGCGAGGCTGGATGATTTGTGAGTACCAAAGCAAGTATTGCATGGACTGAATGATTTCGATTCATAAAACGCAACAATTACTACAAAAACCGAAAAAACGCTATTGGAATTGAAATAACCTGTGGCAAGTGAGACCATAATGTTTCATCATTTCTTATTTTTCAAAATGTCAGTGTGTCACTTATACTTTGTCACATGCCGCGAAGGGAAGTTCTTTTTCAGAATGTCTGCCAATTAGATGTACCAAGTTTGAGAGAAGTATATCATTTTTTTCAATATCATTACCAGGAATAGAGGGCACTTAAATAGCCTATCGAAGGATAATGATACTTTATGCAAATACATATAAGTTTAAACGGGGCAAATAATGCTTTAAAAATGTACAAGAGGTATATCGGTAGTAAAGTATTTGGTGTTTTTTGTAATTCCTTTTTCACCTTTTATTATTTTTCTCCCTAAGAGGCTGCAACTGTATTTTTGTAAAAGAGCTGTGCATGTAATGTCCTAATCTACAGAGTATATACTTGAAACCATAAGACATACGTACGACTATATGTACCAGTATTAAGGTTTTCGGTGTCTTTCGAATACACGAAGAATTTAAGGGATAATTTTTTATAAGGTAAAGGGGGGGGGTTCTTGGATTGCTAAATGTTAGTAAACAATATGAAATTGCTTACCCCTTTCGGACATAGGAATCTTGTCATTAGAACAGCCATTTACAGAGGATGTAACTAAGCGAGATATCACGGTACGCTATCGTTAATTAGTCGAAAATGACCGTTACCTACAGTGTAACCTATCTGGGTGCGTGGTAGACGGATTGGTCTTCGCCTTGTGCTTTCAAATTGAAATAGTACAACCTTTTCTCCTTTGGTTGAAACTAACAGTTACGGCGAGGAAGAAATTCTCGCTTTTCCACAGAAATTGTAACTCTTAAGTCAACCATTTATTTTCTTGTCTTCCTTAGAGTGAAGCATGGCTTCTAACTCATTTTGAGAGGTAATAATAAAACCTTACCAACCCTATGGCATGTCTTGGAGTAGGCCTACCGCCCTCTATCTGATTTCTGGAAATATCATTGAGAGCAACTGCTAAATCCATTTAAAAGCCCGAAACAAAGTGTTCAGAATACTAATCCAGGTACTATTTAGCTGGTGTCTGTTACCAGTGTCATGCAGAAATCAACACGAATTTACGTTCAAAATTTGGTAACATTTTACAATAAACAACGTAATTCAGTGAATTAGTGATTTTTCTTGTAAAACGATTGAAAAATACATTAACATGAAAACTTAATTTTACTCTTATAAAACATCCTCAAAGGTACAACTTTGACAAAAAGCTGTTTAACAAGATTTTGTTTCATGTTCATTTCAGAAAGAAAATATTTTTAAAACAGTCTGCCCTAAAACCCTTGCAAAACAGCTGCACCCTCGCAAATTTTGCGATCTGCTCCATGAATATTTGTCTGAAAACAATATTCTGATTTCGTCAATATCATGTTTTCATTCTATTGAGGCTTTAAATCCTACCCAATAAAATTGTTTTTTTTTTCACACGCACGTTATATACGTCTTAGTAATGTTATATCCCCATTTCTTTCATCATCTTCGCAGTCAGTACAGGCTTCAAATTATACCAAAAGAAGAGTAACTTTTGTGACGGTAATGTTATATACGCTGGGATCTGCGTGCCAGAAATGCAGCAGAGAATATGTTTGGCTTTCGCACATTTTAATGGGTATTAATAGGATATGAGAGGACAAAACCGCCAAAGTTACCCCCAGCTCACAGTACCACTGACTGTATGTGCCATAAGGAGTCGCTTGTTTAGAAAGGTCAATTGTTCAAAAATTAGGTGCTGTGGTACTTCCTATCCAAGTGAGTTTTGATTTGAAAGTAATAAAATATGACAGCCTCAGTCTAATTACATCGTTTCATATCAGTTCGTTTCGTCTGTTATTGAAATAGAGCACATTATATTCCTCAAGTGAAAAAGTGTGTTTGAGGTTAGCGTATCATGACGACAGTTCGCATCGTATAATTCTATCAGTATTTCTGAATTCAGTGATGTTCATGGGCAGTGCAAAAGTGTTTTTTTTTCTCGAGAGAATGCAGTCCTCTCGACAGAATTGAAATCGTAGAGGAAAAGTCCTTTCAAGTAGGTTCTGGATGAAAGGGCTTTCTTGGAACCTGTCCAAAGTTTGAATTTACAGGCAATTTTTCAACAAGACTTAGAGCTGCCAAAGGCTCGGAATACTCGTACTTTTCAAGTTGAAATAAGTCCAAGAGCAGGCTGAAGTGCTTTCACTTGCAAATTCTAAGTGAACTATTTCCTGAGTGCCAACTTTAGCCCTGGCGACCTAGACTTGGTCTGCCTTTATACGTGGCGAGAAAGCTGAGTGTCCTCACATTGCATTTTGGTATTTTATCTGTATTTTCGATGTTCCCTATAATTGTGCAATTGCAAATACATACTGATAAAGGTTTCGCTGAGCGTCCAAAATTGGTGGAGATTCAGATAGAAATGTATAGATATCGGCAGCTAGCTGCATGCACCCTTCACGTCTGTCAGAGCTCAGTAAAATCACCTGAGAGGTTTAGTCTATCACTCACAAAAAGCCTACTTCTTGTATCAGCAATCGCATCAGCTATTCCACATAAGATAAACACTGCTTCACATAAATATGCCAAAAATGTAATAATTGTCACTTCACTTATTCGTTGTACATTTTCCAGCAACTATAGGCTCTTTTCGAAAGCGCCCTAGAATTCTGTATATATCATTTTGAAAGTGTTGGAGCTTTCATTACTAAAACAAAATGATACGTCTTCGGGGGCAACTTACCCTCTGCCCCACCCCCTGGATACGAAACTTTAGTGGCTAATGTTTTGTGGGGAATAGTGGTCACGTGTTTCCTGGTAAAAGCCACAAGTACTTTTGTGCTCTTAATTTGTTTTTGTTTTTTTTCGAAAATTTCAGTCTTCCCCACTTGCGTATGGTTATTCCTTTTACTGCGCTATTTGTTAAGCGATAACATTTGCCCCAACCTGTCCAAACTATTTTCCCCGGCCGCGTCTTCCGGCTCTTTCAGTACCGGCGTCGCTCACGGTTGAACAACCGACTGTTCGCGCACGTCGGCCGCCATCCGATCCCACAGAGGAGAAGCTGGGTAGACCTCCACTGCGCGCGCCCCGCACAACGGGCAGTATTTGACCCGTGATAATTCGACACGCGTTGAAGAGGGATGCTGGAGTCCACCGATCGATTCCGCTTCATAAAAGTGAAAAGTATCCTGATCTTTTCCCCAACACACGCAGTGAATGGAGCTTTAATGTGGAACATTCACGTGCAGCACTTTGCTGTGAGGACGCTCTGGAGATTCCGGATGTGATTTTACGTCTTTATTTCAGCCAACATGAAAGTGAACGATCGTGCAGGTCTGGTAAACTAAGAAAACAATCTCAACTTTCATTTTAAAGGGGAAAACCAGCCTGATGGGCGTTGCAGTACCAAATATTAAAAAAACCCGATAACAACTGTTTCCGGCACGTCAATAGACTCAGCCAGGCAAATTCAGAAGTCCAGATGATGAACTGTCTAGGCTACACATACATGAATTAATGCCTCAAGGACTGACGGTAGGATGTGCATGGCTCCAAGCATGGATAAGGTATTTCGGAAAGGTGTCAAAAGTTACAAAAAAGAGGCACTGCACATTCTGCCGCTATTTTCTGCAACAGATGTTGTATTTTGAAGCAACAACAATAGTCAGCATTGCTTGATTTCAGGGAGAGAAGCAATGACAAGGACTTGGAATTTAAGTGCATGTTATGCCATTCATAACGTAACAATGACTGTTAAAAACATCGTGCAAATATGCTCTGAACATCTTGGACAGAAAGGGTGTGTTTTAATTAAGAATTAAAGAGTACGGTAACAGTTATTCTGATATGAGAGCAACGGTATATAAAATTTTAAAACTCCAGAGCTTTTTTAAAGGTTAACGTTCGTTTTCCCCTGATGTTTCAAATAGTGTCTAGATTACACAACTTTAATTTAAGATTCTTTTTTCCATTTATACAGAGAATCTTATATCAATTTGCAATAGGACGACGTAAATACACTAAGGCAATGTGCTGACCATTTTGTGCCTAAACAGAGATTGAGTTGTACATGTAAGAACTTTCTTTGGAGTAGATAGTACAGCACTGCACAGTACTGGTATGGCTGCGAAGCTCCAGCCCTAACACTGTAAATCTGATGCTGGTACCTCGTCGATGAAATACGTAGGTCAACTGGCCCCCATAATCGCTTGACGAAACCGAGACGAATGTCTGCCCGCTCTAAAAAAACTGCAAATCTGTCGAATGTTTGGATTGAATTCGCCAGTTTGGGAATTCACCGTCAACGTTCAAGTATTCTTCAGGTGCGTCATTCTTTTTGCACTTACACGAGGGCACAACTGCGTGCGTCATAAATAAGGGGGGGGGCTTCCTGGGAGACGTCTCAGGGCTCATCAGAAACAGGCTTGCCAGCAGACAGTGCTCTTCCTGCGGTTAACATGACAACTTGATCTTCCACATCACCTAAAGTGTGCCAGGAATGTGTTTTCACGGTTCATCAGGAGCAAAATATCCCATGCTTTGGTAAGGATGAAACTCCTTTCGAAAGGAAGCGATAGGCCCATGCTCTCCATTTCTGTTTTGTTTTGTTTTGTTGAATTGCAATCAAACCCGCCGGGTTCTTGTCTCTAACAGGGTAAGAAATGGACACCCGAGTTCCCTTGCAGGGGCAAAAGGGGACATTGTGAGCGATAACAGCAAATCGACAGCCGAATCAGGCGGAAATTAACCGAGAATTATTAAATTCTCGGACATCACCGTCTCGCACGTACTCACTGGAGTTCCCTGAGAACCGCCGAGGCGAACACAATGCCCCCTGGCCACTGCCCTTCTTAAGCTTGTCGGTGTCTTTACTGCTGTGAACGCTGTCGGCATCTCCCTCAAAGCTACGTCACGACAATCCCACTGCTGAACTTGAGTTATCTTATCGGTCAACGATCTCACGAAGGCTATATCCTCAGGCAAGAAGGCGTCACAGTGGGGCGGAGTCATGGCGGAAACTCTAGTTTCGTCCAGCCATGTACGGGAAAACGTTCCCCCCCCCACCCGAGTTTCAAGGGACACTTTAATCCATAATAAAACTAACTATAATGAAATGCCGAAGGGGTCATTCTGAGATGCCATAATTTTTCATGGTGACACTGAGAGCAAATGAACTTGGGATTGGACATTTCGTTGCGTACATTTCAAATGGAGCCTTAGGTAGGACTGGGGCCCACATGCACCCGATGTGGCTCCTGTAGTTATGCCACTCAGCCAATGAATCGAAGTCAGACTTAGCTGATCTTGTAAACAAGAAACCAGTCCAAAGTGAGCCAGTTCAAGCCAGCCCAACTCAGGCAAGGCCAAGACTAAGTACGTTAGGGCACATGGCCTGGTGGTCGGGGGTTCGAATCCAGCTGGTGACAGCATGTTGCGATCTCGGGCAAGTCACTTATACCCCTACGCGCCTCTCTCTGCCATGGAGTAAAGGGGCACCTGTAAGGAAATTATGGTCATTATGTTTAGTCGTTTGCGCCTGATATAATAGCACGGGTTAGCATACTCACCAGAGAGCTGAGATGGTTTCAGAAATGTTGAGATGTAAGCCAAATATGCAGGGATAATGACGGTGCACCTGGCCTTTTAATAAGATGCTGTGGGATACTCTGCGTCTAATAAATACCTTGATTTTGTTATTAAGACAAGTCATGCCAGCCCATGAAATCCAATTAAAAGAAACCCAAGTCAAGGAACAGCAAGCCAACCACGCCCAACCAAAATAAACCAAACAAGTTGAAAAAACCCTCATAAACACAAGGCGACAGCAAACCAACGAACGAAATAACAAAGCCCTATCAAAACCAATATCAAAACAGAAACGCCTCAGCAAAAGCAGGATGGATATAAGGGTACATCTCAAAATCCTTCATCAACACCATCACATGACTACTCCGCTTGCTAAAAGTGACACCCCTCAGAACTATCTCTTAGGACACTCGTACTGGTTTGAACCCTGTAAGAGGTCTACCACTTTCTTGGTTGTATCGCATAGGGTTCTGGCTGTGCTGTATCTTCAACATCCAAACCAGGGCTGCCCACCACAATGTTGTCCATATCAGTTGGTCATGCGTGATTAGCCTGAGGGGTGCGGTGCCAAATGGCATAAATAACATGGGAGTCCATTGATTGGTGTGATCGATTCTGCAATGGGGCCTGTTAGCACAATTTTTTAAAACCAGCATGCCCAGACAAGTTTGGTACCTGGGCAATGTTGGTTGGTAGTACATTGAAGGTGTGGCAAAACGTCAAAAAAGTGGATTCTCAAGTTGCCTCCATTGGTGAGTCCAATTTGTGCATGGACAAGCATTTGGAGTATCGATTACTTTTATTACTTAGGGTATATCGTCAGGCCCCCTTCATCTACTCGTCCTATTTCTACGCACTCACCTTAATACCGTCAGGCCCCTTCATCTACTCGTCCTATTTCTACGCACTCACCTTTCAGTGAAAGTTTTGCGTACGCGTGCGCCATTGAACATCCAGCACTCACTTATACCGTTTTTCCGCGTTCAAAAGTTTTGCAAAAGACCCATAAATGTTGGAAATTAATCTTGTAATCTTCGTTTATGTGTAAAAGAAATAAGCAACCCTTCTTCTGCGAAATTTCCTGGACACAAATACGGGAGTCTGTGTCATGAGTCCCCCTCCCCCCAAAAATTCAGAATTCTTCGTGTCATCTAACGGTTTGCCCTCTATTGTCTAGTATGTACTTTTAACCCGTCACGTGAGGTTGACTTAGTGAAGCGTTTCAGGGATGCA